GGGGGGGGGGGGGGGGGGGGGCAAAAATTTGCCAAAAAGGTGTAAGGTTATATTTGAACAGCCCCTAATGTACAAAATACTTGTTTGTATTGATACTGATTATGCTTCTATTTTGTATTATCTGCCCAGAATGAATCGACCCATGTTTCATTACTATGAAGTTTTGGAATAAAAAAGTGAATTAATTTTTGTTTGCTGCTATGTTACTGTTGTGTGCATGTGTGTATGAATATGTGTGTGTGTGTGTGCTTGTGTGTGCTTGTGTGTGTGTGTGTGCGTGTCTTTGTTTGTATTTTGACAGAGAGGCACAGACATAGAGAGAGAAAGACAGACAGAGAGGCCCAGACACAGAGACAGAGAGAGAGAGAGACACAGAGAGAGAGAGAGAGACACAGAGACACAGACAGAGAGAGAGAGACACAGACAGAGAGAGAGAGAGAGAGAGAGAGAGAGAGAGAGAGAGAGAGAGAGAGAGAGAGAGAGAGAGAGAGAGAGAGAGAGAGAGAGAGAGAGAGAGAGAGAGAGATTACCTCTTCTTTTTTTTGATATACATGTATATAATTTTATGGCCTTCCAAAATAGAGTCGATTGCTTTCAAGACAAGGTGCATGTAGCGGCTGTTTTTATAGGCCGTGGCTATTCGGACTCGAGTCTAAATAGCATCTCATGGCTATTCGGACTCAAATTCCAATGCGCGTGCGCAATCACCGGGTGTGAAGCGGACAGGCTGTCTGTTCTTCCTTGGGCTTCCTCCGTTTCTGCGATCTGACCACAATTTTTCGACACAAGTAGATCTATTAGTCATTTAGTGACGTCAAAAGTGAACAACAGTTGCAAAATCGGAATTACTTGCTACACAACAAAGGAAGACGGGGAAACGGCAATCTGGGTACATGTGTTCTGAGTCTGAGGTCAAAACTAAAAGAAACCACGGAAATCACGTCGTATATAGGTCACGAAGGGGTTAGTTTAAAACACCATCATGATGCAACTGAAATTTCAGAACAACAAAGGATTATAATTATCAATCTGTCCCCGTCGTTTTATGCAAGAAAAATTATGAAATTATGCGAACTGAGCCCAAAAATGTGAAATTATGCGATTCTGTTAATTTTAACAAAGAATGATAAAGGAAAATAATCAGAAATTATGCAAAAAAATGATCAAATTTTGCTAAATTATGCAGGGTGCATAAAAACCACGGGGACAGATCAATAGGTAGTCTTAATCCGCTTTATTTGACGAGAAAGAGAGACTCACTGATCAACTGGAAGTCCAGTTGGAAATTAAGAAGAGAAAAGTTAAAAGCCTTCCAAGGGGAACACAATAAAGTCAGTCATTCAAAGAAACAGTAGTCTAAAGGAAAAGCTTTTCCAACCGATACTTTACATGGTGTTCAAGTTGAAATAAAAAAGGACACAACGATACAATACAATCATATTCTGATAGTGTTAGACAAGCAACAGTCCTTCTACAGTCTGAATTAAGCAGGGGTATCAGTCAGTAAAGTCATCAAAATTGTCCTTTCTTGAGGACAAATAAACTGCAAATTAGATTTTAAAACAATATTAAAAGGACTGCAAAAGAGTCAGTTTGGAAAACCATCAACCAATCGGTAAGTCATGCTGGAATCCGTATCATTGGAGCTTGAGTCCGAATAGCCACAGGAAACTATTCAGACTCGAGTCCGAATAGCCATTTATCTTATTATAACTACTCAACTGATTCTAACAAAACGGAGGGAAAGGTCAGGGCCAGAGGTGAAAGGCAAAGTGGTATTGTTTCAACCAGTTGCTACCCTAGTTCTATCTGCTCAGTACCTAGTTTTGAGAAAAATGACGTAAATATTTTTTGAGGTTCACAACATAATGTTAAGCGGTTTCGAATGCAATTGCTTGAATATCTTGATAATGATGCTGAATAGTAGGCTACGATTTTGATAAGACTAGATTCAATTCATATTTACACAGACAGGTCAGCCTTCAAGGGAACTATATACGCAGGCTTTGGGGTAAGAATTGAACATCCTGACAAAACATGTGAAGAGCTATTTGATGCATGTGGTGCTTCTTGTACAAATTACGAGGCTGAGGCCATCGCCATTGAAGCAGCAATCCTCCACCTGACCAACATTTTCAGAATACATCCAAACAAAATCAAAGACACTATTATCTTCACAGACGGAGAGTCAGTACTCCAAGCTTTGGAAAACATGAATTTCGAAAGCCCAGCCTGCCTATCCGTGGCTGAAACAATCAACACCTTCATACAGACCTATGCCGTCGACCTGACACTACAGTGGATACCTGGCCACAGTAACATCCCGGGAAACGACAGAGCAGACACCCTTGCCAAGAAGGGAGCATCATAAACACAACCTCACAACCCAGTATCACAACAGACAGCCAAGAACATCATCAAATGCAACACCAGGGAACAGTGACTGAATGGGTGGGCAATGGGCAAAACTGGAAGAACTGTATTTGCACACATGACAGCCCCCAACTCAAAAGATGCACCTAATTCCCTCAGTAGAAGAGAACAAGTCAGTATCTTTCGCTTGCGAACACAACACATCCCACTGAATTCCTACCTTTATCCGCAAGGATACCCCACCCGACTGCCCGTTGTGCGACTGCCAGGATGAAACAGTACCACATCATCTCTTTAACTGCCCTACACTATACGACCCGCGTAGCACCTACTTACCTGTCTCCCCAGACATCGGAAATACTCTATACAGCGACAAAGCACAGCTGATTTAAACCTGTAAATTCTTTGCCATATCGACAGACCGAAGGGCTAGAACCCAAATAGATAGACTAGATAGAACATTTGGTTTCTGAACTCATGGCCGTAGGACCTCAAAACGGCCGAAAATATAGAACGTTGTAATTTCAAGGTAACGCAGTGTTTGTGGTTTTGTGGTTTGGCTCTTTGTTGGGACAAGCAAAAGACTGCGAGTAGTTGGAGGGCGACACTGGCAGGTCCTTCCTCTTTTCTTTCCCCCTGTCGTTTCCGTCCGTCTGTCTTTCTTCTTCCCTGCACTCACTAAATTTTAATGACGCGTTTTGTGTCAATGACCAAACTCGAAACCTGAAGCAAAGTACGGGAGTTCGATTCTCTTGGTTGGGACAATTTTTAAAATGGAGGATCTCAGTCTTTCTGCTGGGAGACTGTACCCTATTCAAAAATGGGCTGGCCTGACAGGTAGGACGAAGCCCGCCTCCTTTATGATCTACTAAGCCATGTCGATGGAGGCTTTAAAAACACCATTTGAAGAAAAAAAAAAAGAAAGCATGGGTTAACCTGACAGGTAGGGTAGAAAGAAGCCCACCTCCTTATTACCTAAATTGTGTCTATAGTGGCGTAAAACACCTACTTTTGGGGGAAAAAAGAAGAGGCAGTTGCTGAGATAAACGCACAAAGACAGTGGTGGTTGGCAGGTGCTCTGATATGGTTTACTCATTCTTTCCTATCAAACGTCTATCGTTCCTCCTTTTTGTGTTTATTAAGATTACAGTGGAATCTTGTTATAACGATAGGGAGGGACTGGTGCGAAATATCCGTTATACATTGTAGTCATTAAGTTATAGCAGGATTCTCATTATAAGGGACCCAGAACCCCCCGGGGCAGTGCCACTGACTGTAGTGTCTTTAGGCCATTCCCAAAGGGGGGAAATTTCTCGTTCAAGCACAGTAGAATTGTAAATGGGCTGACTCATGTCACGCTCATAACTGTGATCTACAACAGGGAACTGCTGCTTTTTCTTTCCTGATCCTTATTATTGTCATTTTCCTCTACTTCTTTTGTATGTTTGTCACTCTCTTGTGGCCCGCTATTTCCGGGGTGCCTTGATAGTCGAAGTCGAAGTCGAAGCAGACCTTGTGCTGTTGAAGCTAGAGAGGTGAGCAGAGTAAGTCTGATTCCCTGTAAGGACTTCTCTGTTGACACCCACCCCCTGGCGCTCATATGACCTTATGCAGCTGCGAGCGCCGTAAAACCCTGTACTAAAAAAAAAAAAAAAAAAAAAAAAAAAAGGATCCAGTCAGTAATAAATTCCAGGGAATAATAAAGTAGGCCTAATCTACGGAGTTTGGTGTTCTGTTTACTTCTTTTTGCTATCTCCCCTGATGATAATTTTGTTCAACATGACTTCTAGGTCTTGGTTTTTTTTTATTATTTTTTTTAAAATTATAGTAGAGGGTTTTACGGCCCTCGCAACTCTAGGTTTTGATAAAAAAAATGTTAACAAATTTCTTTCTCTAACGCTAGCGATGTTAACAGCTCAGCGTTGGCGATATGAGAAAGAAAGGGCTCTAGGCAAGGAGCTTAGAACTTACTTTTAATCTCCTTGTCTCTTGGCTAACTAGCCCGCTATGTTGTCCCCCACCCCACCGCACCCTGAGGTGCGTTCCTCCGTCTGCTTGCGCACATGGGTACACCCCACACCCTGCCCACGTCACACATTCGCCTCATCCATCACAGCACTGTGACCTCTCCATCCCCACATTATAATAGAAGTGAGAGTCATGGTAGGCCTAGATAATCAAGACTAGGTTGGCCTTTCATGCGATGCGTTCTGCTTGTCTGCGCATGCCACCCCTTCCCCACTCATACGCTCCGGCCTTCATTGTTGGCACACGTGGGCTCTCCAACTCCTTGTTTTGCTAGATCACCAACAAGTTTCTCAACTTGCGAGGTTTTACATGTGTAATTGGCCTATGAGCTGTTCACAGCAGCAGCAATATTCGGACTATAACCGACTTGCTTGTTTGATTGCGCTATAGCAGTATTTTATTTGCAAAGTTAAAGGAGGAAAAAAATGGGGTTTTAGAATAGTGTCCTTATAACAGACTTCTTGTTATTTCAGGACTCGTTATAAGTAGACTTCACTGTACTTTCTTGTAACACTCCTTATCTTCCGCACTTATATGACGTTATTGTGTCGCAAGTGCCGTAAAACTCTTACCAAAAGAAAAGACAAGAACACAGGATATTTTCATCCCTTTTTTCTCTTTATTTATTCTAAAAATTAGATTCTTAAAAGCGATCTCTTGACAATAATGGCAGCAAAGAAGACCAAGGAAGTTACTTGATTCTCTTAAATAAGACCCTCGACGCCAGATTTGCCTTCGGGGAGCGAACAACTTGGGCAAGGACATCTTTCTCCACAATCTCCACACTTTCGTGGATGTAGAGCTTTCTGCCGTCTTTGGGCTCAATGAGAAGGTGGAAAAATACCTTGTTCTTGCTGAACTCTGTCATCATGAACTGTAGAAGAGACACATTTTTAAATTTTCAGTTATTTCATCCTTCAACGTTCCTGCAGTGTTGGTGGCTTTCCTATTTTTGTTTGTTTGTTTGTTTGTTTGTTTGTTTGTTTGTTTGTTTGTTTGCTCGTGTTTTTTTTATGACGGCACGGGCAGAAGACATTATTAAGAATGTGTGTTTGAGTTTTAGTTTCAGTAAGAGTTTTACGGCACTTGCAACACAAAGAGTCATATAAATATAAATGCCGACGACTGGAAGTGTTGCTAGAGAGATAAACAAACATAATTAAGAAGGAGGAGAGATCAGGACAATGGACGTTTGAGTTTGATAGGAAAGAAGGAGCACGCCACACCAGAGCACCCGCCAACCTCCCGCATGCTTGTGTGAGTGTATGAGTGTACGTGTGTGTGTGTGTGTGTGTGTGTGTGTGTGTGTGTGTGTGTGAGTGTGTTTGTGTGTGTGTATGAGTGTGTGTGTGTGAGTGTGTGTGTGTGTGTGTGTGTGAGTGAGTGTGTTTGCGTGTGTGTGTGTGTGTGTGTGTGTGTGTGTGTGTGTGTGTGTGTGTGTGTGTGTGTTGGTGCGTTTAGGTTGCGGTAGGGGGGGGGGTCTGTTGGGATGCTTAAAATTCCACTTATTGTAGACCTAGTTTTGTACTCCTTAAGCTGATTCTGGGTGGCGTCGGTGGCCCAGTGGTTAGGCTACCGGTCTCGTAGTCGTGAAGTTGCAGGTTCGGGGGTTCGAGTCTCAGATTGGTCCGATGTTGTGTCTTTGGGAAAGGCACTTAAAACAAATTTCCCATTAGACTCGGTCCTTTCGGGGATGAAGGTCAAACTCGGAGGTCACGCCTCTTATAAATGGCCTAATAGTGTTAATAAGAGCTCTAAATTTAAACCCATACCATTTCACCATTATGTCGATTCTTCTATCGCCTTGTGACATAACCCATATTACAGTCAGTATAATATAGTACCCTATTTACGCTACGAGGTCGTTAAACGTATACAAGTACAATAGCCCCCCCCCCCCTCTCCCCCCGACCACCCAGTACCGCATCACACCATGCCCAAAACGTGGCAAACTCTTCTCTGCCAACATTGGTTTATCGGCCTCATAATATCCTGTCATCTCATTATACGTTCATGTTAGAAGTACATATACTTGTTTGTACAGTATTGTCATTTTAAAACAAAATACAGTAGAGCTGTGTTTGAGATGTGGTGTTCCTGCGGAATGACGAGAATTAGCTGGAAAGTTAAAAAGGCTATCAATGAGGTCTGGGAGATTCTCCATACAAGACAAACGCCTGTTTACCGCAACAAAATGCAGAAAATACAATATTTTGGTAGCTTAAAGCGACGCCAGACCATTGTGAAAGAGGCGATTGATGAAGGATGGATATGGGGAGGAGAGCCAGCGGTAGACAAAGAACATGGATGGACAACATAAAAAATAATACGGACTGGTCTAGTTATAGTAAAAATGTGCAACGGCAGCTCGCGACCGTAAAGGATGGAGGACCATTACACGTCAACCTCTGAGTCAGAGATGACACCTTCAGGTATTCCAGGTAGCCTATTATGTCATCTTAAACCATATATCTCTTCTGCGTGGCTGGTTGGCGGGTGCTCTAGTGTAGTTTGCTGTCTTTGTCCTATCAAACAACTATCGTCCTCATCTCTCACTCTCTCCTCCTTCTTTTTGTGTGTTTGTTACTCTGTTGTAACACCTCTAATCTTCGCACTTTTATGACCTAATTGTGTTGCAAGTGCAGTTAACACGCTTACTAAAACAATTTCTTCTATTTCGCCTCAGAAATACTCTCTTCAGCAGAGAAATTGGTCATCGAGATATTGATCTACGAACTAT